ATAAATGTAAGGATTGAAAATTTTTTAATAAAAAAGTTAATTAGAAATTTATTTCATTTCTTCATTTTTACAATACAATACAATAGATACCTACATCATGAAAAAAGTTATTAACTATAATTAAAAAAATTAAAATTATTTATAATTATATATTTCTCAACATTTTATAAACTGTTTAACGCATGTTTTTGATCGGGCCTTCCGGTTGACCTTAAATGGTACTCTATATAGTTAAACACTGCGCGCTCACTGCCCTCTATCTCAAAAACGATTCGAGGTATAAAAAAACTTTTTAAACAAAAGTTGTAGAGAATTTTATCTTTTAAAATATTGATAATAGGAAACGAGATATTTGCAGAAAATGTTAAAAAAATCGATTTTTGTGACCTTTGACCTTAATTTTTGACAGATGCGGACACCTTACAGTATGTAGGTTTTGAGGCAAGTTTTAGGATGTCAAAATAAAAGTTTATACAAATATACAGCTTGGTATCTCAAATTCCGAGATTCTTACCTTATTTTGACTAAGATGACTGGACTAAGTCTCACGCTAGCGTGAACGCAATTTTATTCTTATTCTCACGCTAACGTGAACTCAATTTAATTTTTATTCTCACGCTAACGTCAAAATAATTTTAATTTTATTTTCACGTTAACTTCATATATATATAAATACAGCCTTTTGGTTTTTGGTTAAACCTAAGGCTGCCAAATTTGCCCAGGGTCGGTTTTAGACATCTAATGAGGCGGGGCGAAAATAGAAAAAGCCCATGTGTAGTGGACATAATTCTGCTAGCATTATTTTATTTAATTTTACTTTTTAGGTGTCGTGTCATTTAATTTGATTATTATTTGATTATGTAAATGTAATAAAATTTACTAATAATAAAATCGAGACTCTTTTTCTGCAGCCAAACCAACCCAAACTCAACAACACAACCCAACCGCCCCGCCCCATTGAGCAAAAAACCCAACTAAAATGGGCAAAATGAACGATTTTCCAATAGTTAGTTTTAACTCATCATTATTGTTGTTTTTGTCCATGGCAATACATTTTACGTACACTTGTAACAGGGCAGATTTCACAAATCGGCCAAACCACCCGCCAACGTTTAAAACCTCAAAACCGCGAAAATTAGATTCTTGAAAGAATCTTAGGTTATGTTACCTTTAGTGACGTCACCGCGTGAGAATAAGAATAAAATTGCGTTCACGCTAGCGTGAGACTAGACACAGCGGGCAAAAATACGTAACACTGATTCACACTAAATGTTGCATTTATCCTGCAACCACTTTCGATCTAATTAAACCAATGATATTGAACGTAATTTAATCTCGTGGTCCCAAAATGCCCATTCTAAAGCCTGTAATGGTTTGCGACCTTAAAACAAACCAGTTAGTCTCAACAATTATACACTAGATGGCGTGGGATTCGGGCATCGATCAAAGAACCGATACGAAGCGCCGAGCGGGAAATTTAATTATTTGCTTGGAAACCATAGTAAGTTATAACAAGAAAGTTACTAAGAAAAAAAAATTTTATATACATTTTGATGATATTATTATAATCATAATTTATTTCTTCCTTCTTGGGTGATTTTTTTGGGGGTTGTGCAAACCTGCAAACCTTAGGTAGACCCGCCACTGAATTAAAGGACAAAAAATATTGTAATTGCAATACCAAATTTATTTTTATTCACAATCACAATATTGTTTGTTCTTTTTTAACTTAAATGTAACATGACACATCAAGCAAAAAATTTTGTAATTGCATTATCAAATTAATTGCAAGTTTCGCCATGTTTTATCAATTTTCCCACTTACGTTAAAAAAACAAAAGTCAGCGATAAATTTTATATATTTTGGTCTTTAAACCCATTTTTTATGTTCAATGGGGGTGACATAGTCAAATAATGTTATTTTTTTTAAATCCCTGTTTTAATAACATGCTTAAACTGTGAACAGACCATTTTCGTTGTAAAAATTATTTAGCCACCCCAAATATTGTTTAAAAAATCTGAATAAATTTATTTAATTTAGTAAAATCACACACAATTCAAATTTAGCGTTTCAAAAAAAAGTTGTTTAAGTAAAACTAGATGTTATTGTGTTGCTTTTGTATTCTTAAAGGTTTGTTCTAAATATTTTATTTCACTAAATATATAGTAAAATCCCCTAAACTTAAAATTATTTAAATTCAAGTCGCCCTCGGTGGTGTAGTAGTCAGTGCTGCGGACTAAAAGTCCAGTGGTCGTGGGTTCGAATTGATCAAAAATTAAAAAAAAAATTATTTTGTATTCTTAAAAATTTGTTTTAAATATTTTATTTATTAATTATACAGGGTGTCACCTAATAAATTGTCATCCTTTGGGGGGATGATAGTACACCTTAAAACAATAAAGTTTTTCCTCTATCATTTTTGCATTAGAGCTTCTGTGATTTTTTTTTTGACAAAACCAGGGAGCCACTGGATGTCACTGACTTATTCTATATATCATCATTGTTTTTACCTCTAAAAACAATGATAATATTCATATAAGCAAAAAAGAAGCAGGTATGCGCACAGTGTATTATGTAATATCAAGCAAACTTTTAAACTTATTTAGTACTTTGTTATCATTGATTACTGATAGTTCGGTTGTTATTGTGATTTCTCTGCAGAGCCATGGGGCTACATGAACAGTTAATAATATAATTATTATGAAATACCGAATCTGTAAATATTTCTCGAGCGTGAAGTGAGCCGCACGAGCGTGGCGAGGGCACTAACACGCAAGTAGAATCTCCTCTTTCGACTAATAGTCGCACATACCATTTTATTCAACTACCGAAAGAAATATACATGGTGTAACAGTGTTAAAACAAATTATGAATTAAAGAACCGAAACAAATATGGCGAAGGAATTTCAAGCCAATTTTATTTTGACATCTGACAAGCTAACTTCAGCCCATGGGCGAAATAATATGTTGCCCACTGGTTAAGAAATGAACAAATATGTAATTTATTATTTCGCCCACCCTTATTAAGGCCACGCAGTTACACATTTCTTGTGTTTAAGTATACATGCACTATTTTTTTTCAAGCATTTAATTTTACTATTTCTTCAAGCTAAGATGATTATATTTTAGCCTTATTTTAACCAGTAATACTATATTAGACTAGGTTATTATTATTATTATACTAATTGTAATGTTTTAACACTTATAAATCTATATAAAAAGACTTAATATATAAAGTCTTTATATACCTAGACTTATAAAATATGTCAATTATTACACGCTTGAAAAAAAAATTCCTTTATTTCTAATAGGTATTGTATGTTTTGAACTTTTTCAAAAATATACTTTTTATCATCTATTTTTCTACTCCCTCCTTGAAAATGCCCATTATCGTACATGTTTCCATGATACTAAGTAATCTTTTAAATACACATTGACAAGCTATGGCTTTATGGCGCTTTAGTCACGGGCTGAAGTTAGCTTTAAGTTAGTTGACAGTTGTCAAATGCCATAAAATAGTTAAAATAATGTGCCCTTCCAGTTAAATAATACTAAATGTGAAAATTATTGTATTATCTTAATACAAAAATTCAAAAGTATTAATTAGTTTCTGAACTCCAAAATTTCTTATATAAGACTGTGGCCGACAGTAAACTAGATTTAACGGATAAAGAAGCATTACAAATTGCGGATAAAGACTCCCCCGTGGAGTGCCCATAAAACATTCTCTTTACTATCACTGTAAAAAAAACTGCTTCTATATCGGATTTAAACGGTCCGTTTTCAAGGGATAAATTTCGACATTTTCTGACGGTAATACAGATTCCCATTCTTACAGTTTCTATTTTTGTAACGCTCTATAAAAATATTTAATTTAAATCATTTTTAGATGACTATTTCCCTCGTCTTAATTTCCACCAATCACAAACGCGCAATTTTGAATTACAAATGGTTTCTAGGTGAAAAAACTGTGTGACAGCACCTGTCAGCAGTTTATTCGAGTTTACCCGCGGCAAAACTTGACAGCTGTTGTCACCAAAAATTGCAATTTATATTTTAATTGTTAACTGTTACTCATGAAATAGTCTTGTCAAATACCATTCGGACATCTAATTTTTCCTGTGAAAAAAATCGAAAAAACACAATGCTAAGTAATATTTTTTAACAAAATGCATTCGTGCAGGTGCAAAAATCCTCCTCTTCGACTCGGATTTTTGTTGCCACCAGCACTCATGCTTTTTGTTAAAATATTACTTAGCAACGTGTTTTTTCGATTTTTTTTGGAAAAATTAGATGTCCTTATGATATTACTTACGACTATTTCCCGCGTCTTAATTTCCACCAATAACAAACGCGCAATTTTGAATTACACGAGTTTACCCGCGGCAAAATTTGACAGCTGTTGTCACCAAAATTGCAATTTTTATTTTAATTGTACCATACCTAAATAATTAAGTTTGTAGTATTTTGTGTTTAAATAAATTACCTATTTTTCAGTTTTCAAATTAATACCTACATATTTATTATATATTATGTATGCATGTATAATAGGTAGTATGTTTAGTAAGCTATGTGTATACAGAATAACAGTCACTCATGAAATAGTCTTGTCAAATACCATTCGGGCATCTAATTTTTCCTGTGAAAAAAATCAAAAATGCTAAAGTAATATTTTTTAACAAAACGCATTCGTGCAGGTGCAAAAATCTTCGTCTTCGACTCGGATTTTTGTTGCCACCAGAACTCATGCTTCTTATTAAAATATTACTTAAAAATTAGGTGGCCTTATGATATTACTTACGATAATAAGTAATTGACGTAGAAAAATTATAGTATGCAACTCGTTTATAAACTTTTCTAGACACTAATTTAATCAAGCACTGCTCGCAAGCTCGATCGTGGCTAAATTAAATTCGTAAATAAAATGGCGTTTAACAAACTTTATAGTATACTATTAACTAATATATTATATAATAAATAATAAACTTTATTTTTTTAAGGAACATGTTTCCAGAAAATTTGATTGAAGCTTGCATTCAACAGGTACCTATTTATATTTTATATAAAAATTAATATATTAATTTAATGTCAATATTGTTTTAGCACAGAACAAGGTTATTAAATGAAACTGGAGGCACAGGTAAATCACTCTTATTAATGAATAAATAAATGAATAAAATGAATTATTTTCATTTAAAAATGCAATTTTTTACAACAAATTAATTTTGTAGATCTACAAGAATTTACAATAACAACCGAAATAGTAGCTGGAACGAATATTTTGGGATTAGTAGTGGCATCTGCAGTGATTGGGATTGCTTTGGCTCAACTAGGCGAAGAAGCCAAAACCTTGGCCAATTTTTTTCATAGTTTAATGGCAGTAATGATGAAAATAACTACATGGGTTATTTGGCTGTCGCCTGTTGGTATTATGTTTTTGGTCGCAGCCAAAATTTTGGAAATGGATGATATTGCTTCTGTAATGAGTTCATTGGCTCTCTACTTTGGCACAGTTTGTGTTGGTCTTTTTGTACAAGGATTTGTTGTTTTGCCAATTTTATATTTTACTTTAACTAGGAAAAACCCCTTTCAATTTATTTCAAATATTGGTACTGCCATCGTTACTGCCTTTGGTACTGCATCAAGGTAAGAATAAAATCATTAAATACATACACCTAATATCGGTAATATAGGCTCACAGTAATCGATCCTCTAAGGGATTTTGCTAGCTTAGTTCAATTTAACTATAAACATTGTGTACTCGGATCGGGTTGCCATTGGCAACTTGCCAATAGAAAAACAATTTTTATTGCGCGTTATACGAAAAAAAATTTTTTTTTATAAAATCTTCTGCTTCCCATAAAAAAAATGTATTCAAAATTTCATAATAAAAAGTCGTTGGCATTTCAAATTAAAGTATAAATGCAAGATATTTGTTTTTATTAAAACGCAGAGTACCTCTCTCTGAAAGCATTTTTATATTAGTTTTAATTTTTGAGCACCCTGTATATTTAATTTAAAAAATTCTTAATTGAGGTTAGCTATTTAGCAAAATTCCTTGGGGGATCGATTACTCTTTGATAAAAATTTGACCCCCTGTTGTGTCACACAGTGTAATCAGTTCCATATTGCAATATATTTAGATTTCCAAATTTGTATTATAATATATAGACTGTAGCCGAAACTAAATGTGGGAAGGTTTTAAACCACATCAGAGACATGTTGTCTGGTCATATTACAATAAAAAGTGGAAATATGTTTAAAACTAGCATAATTAACATTAATACACGTATTTGTTTTGCAGTATCTTTATAATATTTATATTTATTTTATTCTTAAATAATAAATATTTTATAGACATTACGTTTATGGTGATTTGTATGTATTTAGGTTTTTTCCATATTTCACATATAAAAATGTAGAAATAATAATTTAATTTTTTATCAAACATTATACCTATTTAATGAAAAACTTTAAAATGGCATACTATTAAAATTAATAATAAATAATAAAGGTTTTGATTACAATTTTGTCATTTTATTACCCAAAATTATTTTTTAGTTCTGCAACGTTACCAGTTACCATTAAATGTCTCGAAGAGAATTTAGGAGTAGATCCTCGAGTGGCCCGTTTTGCTTTACCAATTGGTGCGACAATAAATATGGACGGTACAGCGCTCTACGAAGCAGTAGCGGCTATTTTTATTGCCCAAGTTAGAGGCGTGGAAATGGATATTGGCACTCTTATTGCCATAAGTATCACAGCTACCGCAGCTAGCATAGGTGCAGCCGGTATTCCTCAGGCTGGGCTGGTTACTATGGTAATGGTGTTGGATACTGTAGGTTTGCCATCTGAGGATGTTACTCTTATTTTGGCAGTTGATTGGTTACTGTAAGTTTTTTTTAGTAATTTGTTCACTTTAATTAATAATACATGCCTACGTATTATTTCTTTATTATCTTTATTATTATTATTTTTTTGAATTTTAACAAACAAAACGTGTGTATTTACATTATTTAATTAAAAAATAATTATTTAGTACTAGACTACTTGAAAAAAATCCATATCCATACTCTCTTAAAATAAATTAGTAAAAATAACTAATTATAAGTCATATTTGACTAATTGGCATAGCGAAAAAGCAGTCACTATTATTTGGTCAAATTCTACTGAATGAAATAGTCAAATTAAGTTTGTCAAGCTGTTGTCATAACCCATTAGGCTATCAGCCGCCCTTATAAAAATCAATTTTATTTGTCAATAAATATTGTTCATAATATTTTAAAGTTGAATATATTATTTGTGTTGCTGTTTTGAGCTAAACTTTTTGCATCTTTATTTGTTTTTATGTGTCATTTAACCATGGAGCGCACATATATGCATTTAATTCAAATAATACTTTGTTGTTGGCTGCAAACGATTAAAGAAATTAGTTACTTTTAACTCTCAGAAATAGTCTAAGATGGTGACTTATCTTAAATTAGTCAAACTTTATCTATTTACGTAGTAAAAAATAACTATTTAAAAGTGAAAACGACTATTTTATTAGTAAAAAATGCTGGTACTAATTCAAATAATAGAATTTTGACTATTTCATTTTTAGAGAGTCTGTCCGACTTGGTTCCTCTTTAAAGCCTAAACTGCTGAACTGAATTCAAAAACGCGTGGTATTAGTGCGCAATTTTCCGGACACCCTATATCAATAATAATTATCCTTTTGACAGGGGCGGACTAACAGGCAATGAGACCCTGGGGTTTTAAAACGCTTTAGGCCCCCCTTCTTAAGGGATTAATTTTCTAATCTAATCAGGGAAAGAAAAATATGCACATTGTACAAGAAGAATTTGTTTATTCGGAAAAACAAAGAACATACAAATAAAAAACAACAAAATTCATTAAAAAAAGTAATCTTTCCTTAGAAAACCCCTTTATTGGTGATCTAGAACCAATTTATTCTGTGCTACATTATTTTAGTTCTATTCTCAAAAATGACTCCTTTTTGACAGTAGAACTAAAATAATGTAGCACAGATTAATTGGTTCTACATGTCATGGCGAAAAAGCAGCCCCTAATAATGTAGTCCACATCAATTTGTATCCAGAACATTTAACAGTAAATTCCTATGTAAAATTGTCCGCTGAATCCGAAAATACCAAATACCAATACCCAAAAATTATAAAAGTAGTGCAGTTTTTGAGATATAGTCAATTCCATATTATATTAACCATTTACTATATCTCAAAAAAACTGTTCTACTTTTATAACTTTTGACGACATTTTCGGATTCAGCGGACAATTTTAGATATAAATTTTCTGCTAAATAATCGAGATACATAATGCTGTTGACTAGAATTATTAGTGACTGCTTTTTCGCTATGACAATTAGTAATTTTTGACTATTTCATTTTAAGATCTATTAAATGGCTATACATTTCATTTAATAATAATAATCAGGGTTCATACTATTGAATTCGTATAATACTCCCTGACTTTTCCAGGTTTTCCAGAACTTTCTCAAGCTTTTTCCATGGACTGTGGAAGGTGTCAAAAATTGATATTGATATTCAGGCAAATAGGAAAAAAATAAAAAAAAATAGAATTTATACTTTGCGGCTTTAATAACAGACCATAAAAAAAAAAAAAATTCATATAGCATAATTCATATAATATGTGACCTGGACTATAGAAATGTACCTATGGTCGGAAATCAATTTTTATTTTTTGATCGAAATTTATAAAAAATTCAACGTATTTTTTAATGGAACATACTCCTAAGTTTGAAACTTTTGCTGGAAATCATCCTTAAAGTTCAACATGAATTATAAAAATCGCGAAAAAAGTTATAAATAGATCAAGAATTGCTCTTTTTGATCTTTTATTTTCGTCAATATCCTGAGACATATCGAAAGACGAATCTGGTACAACGTCATCTTCTATGTCACTAACACCTGCACCTCCACCTTGATCTTCGTAATCTTCATCGCAATCCGCAAAACATTGTTTCTCCACTGCTTTAAATTCTTTTTATAAATCCATTATGCACTTTCACAAACTAAAACACCCTTAAATTAGCTGCATAACAACGAAAAACCACGATCTCGAAAATACAATGATAAGAAAAGCAGCACGTATTCCAACTTTTTCAACGTTCACAAAATTAGCTATTTAGGGGAAATTACTTGAATAAGGTACACAAATATTTATTGTAAAAGCACCACTGTATAATGGAAGTCTAAAGAGAGGTGGGGAGCCAAGGGTAAGACGAAAAAAGAAAAGGTAGAAGCGCAAATACAAATGCGACGCACGGACAGCTGTACTAGTACTAGTACTAGTACAGCTGTTTTCTCGAAAACTTTATTTCTAACCATAGGTAGCTTTCCGTAGTCCAGGTCACATATGTAATTCAAAAACAAAACTTTTTTAGATCTTTTAAAATTTAACTTAACAGTTATAACAAAACATAGAGCATATTCCTCGTAAATAAAAACAAAACAAAATACAAAAATAAGTCAAATAACTATTTTAAACTTTTTCTCTCAATATTTGTAGACGTCTATTATCAGTTAATTTTTGTTTTTTTGTTTTCCAGAACCTTCATTTCCGTTATTAAACAATTTTTCACAATTACGAGAAAGACTTGTAATGTTACTTTGACTTTTGTCAAAGACAAACTGACAGTTACACGATTAGGTAGTTACATTAAAATTGCCCAAGCATTTTATTTATATAATATATATAATCATAATGTAGATTGTGTAGGTACTAAGGAAATATTATTTTCTTTTATATTATTATTATTATTTTAAGTATTAGTATTATTTACAGATAATTCCCGGACTTTTCCATGACTTTTTAGACTCATTTTTAGACTTTTCCCGGATTTCCCGGTCGCTACGAACCCTGTAATAGCATGAAAGCGTATTTGGGATTTATTCTCTTTCAGGATCATGCTCTTTAAGCGCTTTTTATTTGTTTAATACGACAAATCTGTCCAATTTAATCAGGGAAGTCTTTAAACCACAAAATAAATTTTCAATTTATTAATATGATTACCATACTCTCTTAAAATGAAATAGTCAAAATTTTACTATTTGAATTGGTACCAGCATTCTTTGCTCATAAAATATATTATAGTTTATAAATTTGCAAATAATTATTAACACATATGCATTTATGCATATAAATAAAGAACCTGGAACTTTATTTATTTTAAACACTGTTGTTTAGGAAAAATAGTAAAACTATATATAGTATAATATAAAACTATATATAGTATAATAAAACTATATATAGTATAATATATATAATATTATATACTATAGTGTTTAGTCATATAGTAAGTATATAGTATATTTTATTTACGAACCCTGTAATAGCATGAAAGCGTATTTAGGATTTATTCTCTTTCAGGATCATGCTCTTTAAGCGCTTTTTATTTGTTTAATACGACAAATCTGTCCAATTTAATCAGGGAAGTCTTTAAACCACAAAATAAATTTTCAATTTATTAATATGATTACCATACTCTCTTAAAATGAAATAGTCAAAATTTTACTATTTGAATTGGTACCAGCATTCTTTACTGATAAAATATATTATAGTTTATAAATTTGCAAATAATTATTAACACATATGCATTTATGCATATAAATAAAGAACCTGGAACTTTATTTATTTTAAACACTGTTGTTTAGGAAAAATAGTAAAACTATATATAGTATAATATAAAACTATATATAGTATAATAAAACTATATATAGTATAATATATATAATATTATATACTATAGTGTTTAGTCATATAGTAAGTATATAGTATATTTTATTTTGTTGTCATGCTGAGAGTGGCCAAAATAATATATTTCCTGATCAATCATTTCCCTCCTTCAGCCGGTGGGCGAAATGCTATTTCGCCCACAAACAGAAGTTTACTTTAAATTAAAATTGAAAAAAAGTGCGGTTAAAACTTCTTGACAACTGTCAAAATATGAGATTTCACTCACATGTAACCAAACTCCACGCTCGGGGAATCTCCTCTTTATCCCACTAGTTGCACAATATACTATAGTAATACATTATTCCATTTAAAAATTATTATGCTCTTTTGTAGCTATAAATTGATATGATATGATTGGTATTATTTGTAACAAATCTATGCTCACCTAATTTTAAGAATTAAATCTTACCCTTAAATTTAATAATCTGTGATTTAGTTAAAACGTATCACTTGTTGTTTAAGACACATTTTTGAAATATTTATAAACACCTTATATTTGTAACAAATATACAACATTATTGAAAAGTAAATAAAAAAATCAAATGGTTTAATTTATACTTTTTGTAGTGATCGATTTAGGACTGCTGTTAACGTTATGGGTGATGCCTTTGGCGCGGGAATAGTAAATCATCGCAGTCAAAAAGAGTTAGCAACGTTGACAGGTCCTGCACCAGTAAAAAAGAACAAAGAGAAGCAAGACCAAGATTCTAATTCGACAGTTCAAATTCAACAAATTTAAAATAAGAAAACAAAATAAAGGTGCTTTACCGAAACAATAATGAAACACTTTCTCATTTATTAATATTTTGGATCCAAATTATATTTGAACACTGCTTTTGTAAAACAAATTTATGACTATAAAATTAAATTAAATTTTATAAGAATTGAAGTTTTATTTTTTTAAATTGTAAAAATTTTCATGGATTACAAAAGACAAATATTTTTATATGCATTTTCATCACATTGTAAATTCTAAAAAAAATAATCAGACTTTATTTACATAATATGTATGACTTTATTTACATATTATGTAAGTTGTCGCACTAATTTTTAACCCCTCGCATTTATTGGTTGTAGGTACAAAGATTTTTACACATTTAACAATTACACTGTAGCGAGGGGAAAATATCACAACGTTTAGCTTGGACATAAAAAGTTATTTAAGTTTTGGAGCATCCCATTAAGATACACCCTGTATAAATTAAAAAAAAATCAATTGGGCTGCCCTACAGTGGACTTGAATAGCCCGAGAACTTCCAAAAACACAAAACCATATTTGTTAATTGAATATTTGTGAGCGCCCGACCCGCCATAGCATAAAATCTTTCGCACTAATTACTTATTACGCTGTGGCTCCCGTCCCGAGGCGGGACTTAAGTTCAGTCCCGATTGACGTCATAATTTTAAGATTTGTTATGTTATAATAAAATAATAATAATAATAAATTGTACCTGTATACATGTTAAGGGCACGTTAGTTAAGTCATAAAACCAAACCAACCCAAACTCAACAACACAACCCAACCGACCCCCACCGCCCCATTGAGCAAAAAACCCAACTAAAATGGGCAAATTTATGTTACGATAAAAATAAAACACTTTTTAACAAAGAAACAACAAATTTATAAAATAAAAAAAATAAAAAAAGTTTGACAACTTCTAGTAAATTCGAACCCTGTACCTCTCGCATGCCAAGCGACCGCCCTACCATCTAAGCTAATTATAAAAGCTCGGGGAATAAAAACGGATTAACAGTGTGTGACGTCTGTCGGGATCGAAGTTAAGTCCCGCCTCGGGACGGGAGCCACATCGTACTTATTATTACTAATAAAATACAAATTTTCAAACTTTCAAAATATTTATAAAAGAATAAAAACCTGAAAAAACTTGAAAAAAAATAAAAACCTGAAATCGGTAGATCACTAATTAGACCTTGTAAAAATTTGTAAACTAATGATTTTTTAAAAATCGTTTTAAAATTGTGATTTAAAAATATACTTATAAAAAAATTATTTAAATTTAGACACACCAGACTTAAACTTTATTCATAATTCGTAATGATAAGTTAATCTGGTTTAATTTATTATACTCTCTTAAAATGAAATAGTCAAAATTTTACTATTTGAATTGGTACCAGCATTGTTTACTAATAAAATATATTATAGTTTATAAATTTGCAAATAATTATTAACACATATGCATTTATGTATATAAATAAAGAACCTGGAACTTTATTTATTTTAAACACTGTTGTTTAGGAAAAATAGTAAAACTATATATAGTATATATACCTAAAGTGTTTAGTCATATAGTAAGTATATAGTATATTTTATTTTGTTGTCATGCTGAGAGTGGCCAAAATAATATATTTCCTGATCAATCATTTCCCCCCTTCAGCCGGTGGGCGAAATGCTATTTCGCCCACAAACAGAAGTTTACTTTAAATTAAAGTTGAAAAAAAGTGCGGTTAAAACTTCTTGACAACTGTCAAAATATGAGATTTCACTCGCATGTAACCAAACTCCACGCTCGGGGAATCTCCTCTTTATCCCACTAGTTGCGAGTAGTTAAGATGGCGGAGACTGAAGACGTAAAGTCTACAGCTCCCGGCGAATTAATTGATAAATCTGGAAATATACCGTGTAAAGGGTGCAAAATTATCGCACGAGCATGTTTAAAGTGTGGTACTGTATCGCATTATAGTTGTGCTAGAAAAATGAAAAAGTGCTGTGGAATCAACCAAGGTGATCCAGAGGAGCTCGTGTTTGATGGAGATACCGAAGTGACAAAGCAGAATTACTACTTATTAAAAATGCTGGTATTAGAACTAAACAAAACGAATAAGTTGCTTGGTGAAAAAGTGGAATTCCTAGAAAAGAAACTGGAGGAAAAGGACGTAATTACAAGTGAGGTTAGTAACAAAAAAACGTTAAATTATGGCGAAGCAGGGAAAGCCAACAAAAACAATGCCCCCGTATTAGGCAACACGGTGAACGCGCCGAATCTACAGAATACAACTAAGTATGAAATACAAGGTGCGAAACCGAAGCATAAGAAGGAAACTGTACCGGTCGTAAATCAAAATACGGATACTGCAGTACCGACTACGTCAAACGCAGACCTTCCTAATAAAGAAAATGGCGAATTTGTTTACCAAGAAGGTAAACACAATAAACGTAAATGTGTATTTGGAAATAATGAAAACAACGAGTTGAGTGGATACATTCCAAACTCCAACATCCATGTTTCCAAGTTAAACCTGAATGTCAAGGGTGAGGACTTAGTACAATATATTAAAAACGCGTCCCTAATGCTAATGTATCTTGCACAGAATTGGAAGTAAAATCAAAGAACTATAAATCATACTAGATTACCTTACCAGCAATACATAAGAAGGAACTACTGGAACCTGAATTCTGGCCTAACCATGTTGCTGTTAAAATGTTTCTGGATTTTCAGTCCCGGAACCAAACGGCAAAAAAAGCTAGCTGATAATTATAATCTGAATTATAAAAGATACAAATTTTCGGAAAAAAACTCAAGAGGCAAACAAAAACTACCAAGAGGCAGGAGTAAAGGTTGCATAGAGTTGGAAATCATTCATCAAAATGTTCAATCAATTGGTAATAAAATTGATCGAATAGAAAATATGATGAAATGTTTTGAAAAGTGTATTGCAATATGTCTCACTGAACACTGGAAGTCTGCTGAACAGCTCATACTCTATCCAATAGATGGATTCAAATTAATTTCTTGCTAATGCAGGAATGAAGGAGAACATGGTGGATCTGCGATTTACTGCAAGAACTCAATAAAAAGCAAAGGAGGAAATGACATTGTAAAAAAGTCTATAAAAAATGTTTGTGAAGTGTCTGCTGTTGAATGTGACGTTAGTGAAAGGAAAATAATAATATTAAGTGTATATCGTCCCCCCACAAGTGATTTTGTGGTTTTTATTGAGGTTTTAAATGAAATCTTAAATACTATTTTTTATGAAAACTGTTCGATATTTGTGGCAGGAGATTTCAACATAAATTTGCTGGTAAATAGTCAAATAAGTCTTGAGTTTAAATCATTGTTTGAAACCTATGATTGTTATCCATCAATTCTTGAGGTTACAAGGCAAGAAAATGCCTCTAAGACATGTATAGATAACATTTTTACTAATACAAAAAACTATAGAACCAAAAACAGGGAGTTTCATATATCAGATCATATGACTCAAATTATTTATTTTAATAATAACGTTGATAATGATAAAAATTATAAAGTACTTAGAAATTTTTCAGAAAAAAATAAAGAGTTGTTTAGGAAAAAGCTGGCTGGGGAGAACTGGCTGGATGTATTTTCTTGCAATGTAGCTAATGTTGACAAGCAGTGGAGCTGTTTTATAAATATATTTGTACCTATATTTAATGAATGTTTTAAAAAAAAGAAAATTAAATGTAAAAGTAAAACTTATGCTTGTGATCAAATTGTAAATGTAATAAAGGAAAGATTGGATGTTTTGTTAATGTTAAGTAGATTTAATATTGATTTTAAGCGACTGTACGATGTAACAAAAGTGCAGTATGATAACATATTAAAATTGTCAAAAAGAAAAAGATTTAATACAATTATTGAAAGTTCTGAAAACAAATCTAAGTCAATGTGGAGTGTTGTTAATAAAATTAAGGGATGTGATAATAAGTCTACTCAAATACAAGTTGAAGGAGATGAATTTAGTATTGCAAATGATTTTAACAATTTTATTATTAATAGTGTAGGTGAAATAATATCAAACTTAGAGCAGAGGGCATATGACTCTGAAATAGAATATAATAGTAACTCAATGTTTGTAAAGGAGGTCACTGAAATTGAAATACTAAATATCATCTCAAAGTTAAAAAATAAGATGAGTTGTTCTTTTGATGAAATACCTACAAGCATTATAAAAACCTGCAGACTTGAAATTTGCAAACCTCTCTCATATATTGTTAATAATTCTCTAATGCACGTTGTTTTTCCAGCCTATTTAAAAACAGCTATAGTAACCCCGGTGTTCAAAAAAGGTGATCCTACTAGTTTAAATAATTACAGGCCAATCAGTATGCTTCCTTCATTTTCAAAAATCTTTGAAATGGCGATGGTTGAGAGAATATTAGATTTCTTTCATACTTTCAAGCTTTTTAATGACAATCAGCATGGATATCTGAAGGGAAAATCGACAAATACGGCGGTAAATACATTTATACATAGTATTTTAGAAGGGTATGAACGTAAAGAAATGTCATTGGGACTTTTTATAAATCTCTCCAAGGCTTATGATTGCTTAAATCATAATATTCTATTGGATAAGCTTGAAAGGTATGGCGTTAGGGGGTGTGCATACGAGTGGATGAGATCCTATCTCAGCAGTCGCCATCAAAAAGTCTGTATCACACGAAATATGAACAAAGTTATTTCTGAAGGTCAAGATATTAAACTGGGTGTTCCTCAAGGAAGCATAATGGGGCCTGTATTATTTTTGATATATTTAAATGATATTTGTGATGTAAAGGGACAGAATGAGTTTAAGTTGGTGAATTACGCTGATGATACCAATCTGCTCATTAGGTCAAAAAGCTTGGAGAGCTATTCAGTCATCAAGTAAGATATTTGAAAATTTGAACTTCAAATTGAAGACAAGTTGCTTGATATTTCAAAGAAAGGGTCTCAGACCGGAAAACATTATTATTCATGGGAATGAACTTGTTGTTAATAATAGCACAAAGTTTTTAGGGATTACTATAGATGAAGGGCTTACATGGGGAGAACACATAAATGTACTAAGGGGGAAGCTTAATAGAACACACTATGCTTTGAGAGTCATGAAAAAT